ATTATTAATAAATTATGAGTGTTTTCAGGGGTCTTTCTAAAAAAAATTATATTTTTAAATAATATACCAGGACAGTTGTATCATGCTGACAATTAAAAAAAATTATAAAAATAAAAAATGTAATTTAATTTAGAAATGAAAAACATGCCAATTACAGAACTGCATTTAAATGTATTTCTGGATAAATGAATAGATCTGGACCAAAAAAAGAGCATTAATGTCATTGACCCACAAGCATCTAAAGTATCGGTCCAATCTATTCGGAACAGGAAACAATCTGAATATAAAGAAATATGATTGTAGCGACACAGCTCAATTGGTTAGTTAGAAATCCTTACCTTTTTAACTTTTTCTATACATTCATCTTCTTGGAATAATTTGAAGAAATCGTACATATAGGTTTCTTTAAAGCTAGACTGGGGACACAAATCCAAATAGTCACAACAGAAACGAGAACAGGAATTACATTTTTTTTTTTTTAATATTCTGTTTTATTATATCTAGTGGAAAACTTTTCAAAAGTTGGTTCCTTCAGCACACATATGACTAATAGCTGACGTACCAGTTTGTTCTTGGAAAGGCTGCCCCAGCTGCCTAGAGACTGGATGGTTTTAGAGATGAGAGTAAGCGTGCGGGAAATTTCGGGGTCCTGAGAGAGAAAGTAAAGTTAGGTGATTTTACCAACTCGTATTTAATTCAAAGCACTTGCTTTCATTTACTGGTAATTACTTTATGCGCTTACAAATAACATGTATTGTTGACTGAAAGCATTCTAAGAAAAGACTGGAGAGTCTCAATGGCTCTTTCCTGGCATACATAAATGAGTCACATGCTTAAAAAAAGGAAGTAAATCATGTTTGTTACAACTAGGTAGTTTGTTTTAGCTGTGGTGTGACGTGGCTGTTCTTGTTGCACACTCACAGGATGATGGGATCTCAGCTGGAAGGTGTGTGGAGAGAGAACAGCCACCGCAAAGAACCTCAGGAATATGAAACTACTGACCGCTGAGTACTGCACATGAGGATCCGCTGTGGTGAGACACACACAGAGAGATTATTAGTCATGACTGAGTATCTGGCTCCTCCTGGTGGTGAATCAACACAGTCCTTCAAGAATGCATACAGGAGACTCCAGCAAGAGGTCATTCAAATTTTGCTGGACAAAATACATGCGTGCACCCTGCACAAGTAAATAAGAGTGAAAGTGTGTCTGTCCCACCTGGAAAGCGTTTAGATGCCAGCTGTCTGAGTGATCTGAAGACGTCACACATGAGGGGAGGACAGCTGGAGCTGGACTGTGTTATAGACGTAAAAACCTTCTGTACATATCCCTGAAGATTCTCCTAAGCACACACAAACACATGCACATGAGTTGTAGAAAAATACTTTGCTCTTTGGAGGACAGATTGTTTTCTATTGTCTTAATTTATTACATCCAACCTGTAAAAT